CATCACGGGGCACACTCACACACAATTCACTCACACCTATGGACACAAGGCAGGGAACAACCCAGGATGGGGCACCAACCCATCACGGGGCACACACACACAATTCACTCACACAGGCACACCTACGGAAAAATTATTATACTCTCTAACTTCCCAAAACAAAACAAAAAAAACTTTATGTCCAATTATTTGCTATTCATATAGATCTAAAACTGAAAAATTTGAGATTTAGCTGGTTAAATAGAATCATGTTTAATGCCATTTCAAGCAATTGCCCATTTTATACATCTACATTAATATCCCCAATTAAAGCTAATTTGCAGAAATCTTTAGTACTGATCTGAAAAATCTGAATGTAGACACAGGGATACGTCACACTCTCTAAGAAGTTCACTGTCATTGGATGATGTTGTCTGAGTGGGTTAAGGCTGGTAATGTGGAAGGTACCAACTTGTCCAAGAACTGTTGAAGGCCCTTCCGGCGCCTTTCTAGGAAGTCCTCATTGTTGAAATGAAAGAAGGAATTCTTGCCGGGCAGCTCAGGAACAGGCCTTCAGCAAACAGAGAAAGTGTCCAGAGGGATTAATTTACACAGAACTGCTGGCACGGTGCAGTGACATTCAAACTATTAAATCAGATTTTGAAGACAATTAAAATGAAAGGTAAAAAACGAAAGGCAAAACTGTACATGTACAAATAATCTTGATTTATAATTATATTCTGATTAATTAAACTGAAGATTTACTGACTAATAATACCATGCAATACCAGCTGCAAAAGAACTGTACACATGTGATTCCTGTTAACGGAATAACCACATTTCCATTCACAGGCCAGCTGCATACTCACAGCAGGCCTGCATTTCCTGTTTATGGAATAACCACATTCCCATTCACAGGCCAGCTGCATACTCACAGCAGGCCTGCATTTCCTCTTTATAGAAAAATCACATTCCCATTCATAGGCCAGCTGCATACTCACAGCAGGATTGCATTTCCTGTTTATGGAAAAATAACATTTCCATTCACAGGCCAGCTGCATACTCACAGCAGGCCTGCATTTCCTGTTTATGGAATAACCACATTCCCATTCACAGGCCAGCTGCAAACTCACAGCAGGTCTGCATTTCCTGTTTAAGGAGAAATAACATTCCCATTCACAGGCTAGCTGCATACTCACAGCAGCCCTGCATTTCCTCTTTATGGAATGACCAAATTCCCATTCACAGACCAGCTGCATACTCACACCAGCCCTACATTCTTCTGAAGTTTCTTCTTCAGCCAGACAAACTCGCTGTAGCGCCGGCGCACACAAGAAGTCTTTGCTGTGAAGGCCTTACTGTTGGTCTGAGTAGAAGGAGGAAATAAACTCAGTACCTGGAATAAATAACACCTCAGACATTGTCACTAATTTTCAATAGGGTTGAGTTAGCCGTATTAGCATTATTTTCCGAGTGTGCACAATTGCAGGGGACTAGAATGGTGCACTCAAATGCCAGTGTGCATCCTCCAGTGAAGATCTCTGCCAAGTGATGACATTTATGAATTAGAAAAAAGTGAATAGTGGTACTTTATTCATCTCCATGAGGAAACTGGGTAGTCTTCACATATCTCAGTTCCATGAGGTCCGCTGGCATCCAACACCCCTGGGGCAGTTGGGGTTAAGCGCCTTGTTCAAGGACCCAACGGTGATGCTACTGCTCTACCAGCTAAGGGATTTGAACCCATGACCTTACAGACACAGGGACAGATCCCTACCCTACTAACATTTTCATACTAGCAAAAAATAAATCTCCCAGAAATCAATATAGGCATTAATGCATTACCATGTAGTGCACCATAATAGTGCAGATATAATTTTTTTGTATGTTTTTACATATATTGTGTATACAAATTAAGTGATACTTTAGATGTTTTTTTCTTAACAGAATTAGAGGTAAACATGCTGAAACCCTCTCTGGCATCAATACCCAGACTGCAAGAATTCCTATCCATTGCTGATAATCTGTTCTGTAACAGATCCCTTTAAAAAATGCTAAATCTCTCTTCTACTACTAGTCATCCTCTATAAGTACTTCAGTTTACACTTATAATCAAAGAAAAACCAAAACCAAGAAAACATTTTATTGGTCATATTTCTCTATTTATTCCTTCACTGCTAAATATAAATAGCTGGCAGAAAAAGTCTTCCTGTCTTATAGGAGCAGGCAGGAGTGAGGCCGGGGGCCGCGGAAGAGGGCCACACTGCATTACCTGCTTAGATATACCCTCCCCCGGCATTTGGAGATTTAAGTACAAGCCACTGGGCAAGTGAAATCACATCCATACAGATGATCTCATCGGGAACTTACATTGCTAAATAATCACAATTAGCTACCAAAAAATGGCCTGATTTGTACCACACCTGGGAACCCCTCCTCCCAACAGCTGGGCTTGTCCTGGTTTCAACTAATATAGCAAGGAACAATTGTAAAATAAATTTTAAAAAAGGAATACCAAACTTGACTGAGAACAACCCTATCAGGACTGATCTACACATCGTCATACCCCGCTGAGGCAGTAAACTGTCAGCGCTATGACAAATATACAAGAGTCCAGCAATGTTTCAGAACTGTTACTGGTACTACTACTGCTTCTCCCATTGTGCGCCCCTAAATCCATGCAGCAAGCATCTTTGAAGGCAGCTACCTACAGTGTGAATTTGACAGAACTGGGGCAAGTGCACAGCAGCACTCTCAGCTATGGCAAATTCAAGGTCATACCCAAACAAACTCACACTTCCCCTAAGGCACAGCAGGGACCGGCGAGATAAAAAAACTGGAAACACCTGTGCTCACTTCCAGTCCCATAAGCACATTCCTGTGTGACAGAAGACACAAAACCTTCTCTTCGGTCAAGAAAAAAGTTACCCCTACATGCCTATTTGCCTTTAGGTTAAAAAAAAAATCAAATAAACAAACAAACAAATAAGTAAATTAAAAGGACGCTGCTCACAACGAGACTGCAAATCTTTTCAAGCTCAAACAGTTATGTTGATTCATCCTCATGAATTAAATGCATAGTAGGTACTAATATCACGATTTCACAGGGGACGTGATTACACAAAGTTATTAGCAGGCAGGTTTCTATATCTCCCTATTTCAGAATTACTGGTAATCAACAATATCAGGACTCTGGACTAACGATATCTGACAGTGACTACCCTGCAATTTTCTCCTTTATTTTTATGTTTATTTTTTGTGTTTATGCTACATACAATGGAAAATAAAGTGTTATGAACTGGTTTTCAGTTCAACTTTCTGGCCTTCATTTCCAACACAATTGGAAAGAAAAAAAAAAACACACATACAAGCTCTTGCGTTCACATGTTACAAGGAGATACACAAAAAGCAGCCCCAACATGTGAAGGTTCATTAAAATTTAAAAATTTCTACCTCATGGTCTTCGCTCTATGACACTTTTTAAAAATATAATTGTTTTTAATATCTCCCAGCCAAAATCTGAATATATACAAACAAACCTCTAAGCCAGTAAGGTCCATTCTTAAATTCTGATTCTTAGATCAAGAATCAAAAAGACTTAATGGATTCCAGTCCCTGGAGCAACTGGGGTTAAGGGCCTTGCTCAAGGACCCAACAGTGAACAGCATAGTACGGCATTAAGATACTCACATGAAGAAATATTTTAAAATCCACATAGGAGTTCCAGGAACCCTCATTTTGTACTCGTGGGTCTTGGACCCGTACAGCAACAAACTCCTGCAAAGACACACAAAATGGCGAGAGCTGACAAGGGTATATGCTTTTATGGATTAGTTCTGATAAACCAATCTTTCAATTTCAGACTTGCATATTTTAGTTTATGCTTAGTTTTTGCTTATTCAGAACAGTTATACCTCCCAATACCATAAGTCAATGGAATAAACACAAAACAAGCAGAAAACAGAACCCAGAATTTTAAATCGGTTTAGCATTTAGCTATAAAACTGCTAAAAAGTACACATTACTGTAAAATTAAATCTTACTTATTAGGTATACGATTCAATAAGCTGGAGGATAATGTTATGAATTTCACCCAAGAGTTGTTAATACCCATGTAGCAGAACATTTAGCACAGACATATATAAGAGACACTTTCAAGTATTACAAGACTATTCTATGGCAACAGTAGTTTTTTCGTAATATTAAACACCCCTGGATCAACTTCAAGCGCAACAGAGAAC